TCTATTTCGTTTCTGTACACTTCTACTCGAGATAACATCTATAATTAGCTTTGGAAAGTCCCGAACGCAGCTGCGGAAAGCGAACTCATATTCCTCCAACACTGCGAACTGTTGAGCATTGCTATGGAGAAGGGCACCTCTGTTGAGCTCCTCCAGGATCTTCTTCTCAAGCTTCTGTTGGTGCCTGGTTGAGCTCTCACTGATTTGCAGACTCAAATCGGATCGGAGCACCTTCATGGCTTGTCCCACGTCCTGCAAGTGAGCGGAACTTTCCAACTACACTTTAAGACAAGTGTTGTCGTGATAAAAGAGGAAGTGGTGCTCAAGTAGTTCTCATGAGTTGTTGCTCATACACTGAACAGTTGCTCACCTGTTCAGTCTTAGTCTCGCTTTCTCTAACTATGTTGACAAGTTCCTCAACTTGCTGTTGCACATGACGACTCAGTTTCACTTCAGTTGCTTGTCTCTCCTGGACCTCTCTGTCCAAGTTCTGAATCAGTGTGGGGGGAGGAAAATATGCACATCTTCAACTACATGTGTTGCCGACATTATAGAAAATTTGAGGAAATTTCGGGAAAATCGGTACATTTCACACCAGAATCTGGTGACCAGATTCGTGCATCAACTCCTCGAATGAGCAAGGAATTTCCTGAGCTCAGCTGAGGAGAGTAAACATAAATTTCAAGACTGTTCTGAGGTTCAGAACAGGCTCAGGATCTCAGCTATATTGATGGTCAACTGCATGACGCCTTGTATCATCAATGTAGTTCAGATTCTAACGGCTTAAGTTCAATTTTTTGCTGAATTTAACGACACGCCAAACAAACTGACCTTGAAGAGCCTCTCAAGCTGTCCACTTAGGTTTTGGTACTGCATGGAAAGTTCTGCTATACTATTCTCGATCTCGGGAGAAGCAGACAAGGTTTGACGCGACGCTTGCTGAAATCAGCAGTCAATAAGTTGAAACAACATAGAGTAGAGTCCACAACTATCGAATCTTAGCTTTAGCTTGAAGTTATTTGATGATTTTGTGAATACGATTGTAAATAGAATCTCTAGATTGCATTAACCATAGCCTTGAGTTGCCTAGTCGTCAAGAGTAGTTCGTACTTGGCCAGCAGCCCAGGATCGATTCAAGGGGCTCTGATCGTTTTCTGTGCTCGGAAAGGATGCGACATAACGCGATCTGCTGGGGGAATATGAGCTTCTATGTGATCCTGAATGAATCGTGTTCAAAGGTAATTGTGAACGTACTCATTGTTGTGGTTCTCTTCAAAGAAGGAGAACTCCCATGGATGTAATCCGTATCGGCTCGCATTGGAAAGCTCAACACTGAGTGCGACAAGACTGATTTCTCTAATCGCGCGAAGGCCCACGTCTAATTACAGTGTGGGAGAATATACACATGCACAATTACTATACGAAGATTCTGAGGAAATTTTGAGAAATTATCGTACCCTAATGTGTTTGCCATGCTTGCATCTACGTGGAATTTTCACCAGCACTTGAGCGAATCGGAAAGGTAGAGCCGAAACGACGGCGTTTGGTAGTCAACTACTGAACTTAGAACCTATATAGAGTTGACAGTAATACAGCAATGCAATACATAGGAATAAATGCGATCATGAATGCTCCAACAACAGTCATGAAGTGATGAACAGCAGTGGTATGGCTCAGTTAACTCCCTCTGAAATGCAATTCAGAATAATTCTTTTCTCGGGTAGTACTGAAATGGGAATTCTTGTGGGAATTTCTGCATTTCTTGCTTAGGAAGAGCGTGGCTTCTCCGCGGTTGAAACCGTGCCAGAGAGTTGTCTTTCGGCGAAGCCTGGTTTGGGAAAGCGATTGACACAATCGCTGCCGGCACAAGAAGAGAATCTGAGTCCTTCAAGATGCCAAGCTAGTCACACAAGCCAGACTGTCTTGACAACCTGGAGTAGTGTATGTGTTAAGCGTGATATTTTTTTTAACCGAGGTCTCCGATGTAGGTCCTAGGGGCACTCCAGGTAGCAAGCTTCAGTGGCTTACGACAGAAGCTTACTATCCTGAGTGTCCTTAGTGTACCTTGCGTGTCATCCTCCGCAGTGCCCAGATGGCACTCGTGAGTCGACACGCGCCCTGCCACAACTCGGAGGCTAGAGGTTTCATTTCGGGAGAAACATGCTTGGCCAGTCTGGATGCACTTACTTGTTCACAGCCACTGAAGCTGCGTTTTCCAATGCGTGAGACGATGACTAATAATCATCGTAATCCATGTTCCTACTGGAAAACATATGCTGATATTATCAGCCGTACTCCTTGCCACTGGCGTGGTCGAGTGACACTTTCTTTTATAGCGAGTAATACGTGGTACATAGCCGCACCTGCCCTAGTCACAAAAGAACCAGCTACATCTAGATGTCGATACTTAACTGATTAAAGTCTACTTAGGTGTTGCAGTGAGATAGACATATCATTCGTGTATTCGAAAATTCACAACATGCAAACATTCTTAGCGGAGCGAAGCAAGTGCGCACAAAAGCCATCTTTGCACGTCTCATCCCCTACGTTGGATTTGACTCGATAACTCTGCTTGTAGCAACATTGAGATTCACTAGCTCCAGTGTAGGTTATCGTGAGCTCATGCTGAAGTTATGGACGTAAGGCAACTCGCAGTAACTGCCTACGGAAGGCAGTAGGACACTCGTGAAAGGTGCTTTCACGTGCGACCTGTTCCGCCGCTATAGTTACATTAGAAGGGTCATGAGTGGAATAAGAAGAGTTGAGTGTATGATAACATCTCACACTTCTTCAGGGCATTTATGTTGGTCAACGAATCTGACCTTGGTTTGCTGCTTGAATGTGTGTGATATCTGTTACGGGTTGAGTTGTGGAAGTACTGCGTTATGACTATCGCTTCTCGAGTGGATGCTAGGTCCTAAGGTAGAGATCAGTCATGAATGAGACGATGCGGCGAGGTTACGAATAAGACCGAAATAGGCTTATGTTTTTTGAGGAGTAGTGTGCGGATATATATTCGACTGGATGAAACTTGGCGCCTTAGTTGCTCACGTGCATTACTCCAACTACAACAACGAGAACAATGTGAGCACTCTCAAGAACTATTATTGTGCTTCATTAAACCCTGCGACTAAGTCGCTGATAAGTAGATGTTTGGCAAGTAACGAACTGTTCGCGCATGTCGAAGATACAAGTGCAGTTACAGTTAATTTCGTGTGAAATATGAGCTGAATGTTACTACTGGTATGAATCCGATCATGGTCCTGCTCACTGTGCAGTGCACAGTCTATATTTTAATTCGATTTGGTGGTTGTTTTCCATCGTATCCGTCACGTTACGGCTTGCGTTGTGACCAAGGGCAGTACTTTGCACTCTAGCTTTTCGAGCTAATGCAATGCTCAGCTCATTGCCTTACCTCAACACGCTGTTTTACCGAGATGCGCTCATAGTATCCCAAACCTTCGTTACAGCGGTGTTAGTTATCTGTGCACTGCTTACTACGAGGTTTTTGGGACGGATCAAAAATGAAGTTATCTACTCTAGGATACTTGGGGATGCAGAAGAAGGTGACCTTACGATCGAGGTGACTAGGGTCAGCAGCTGTACTTTTGTCGCCGTGTACCATTACTGTCAGGGCCTTCCTGTGCCGACAGAGGACAGTAGTCGTTCATCTACTCCAGCAGACTATGCCCGTCTTGGAATTCTGAGCGTCCTGTCGCTATGCATATTAATTGTTTGGTATTGGTCCGTTGTCATCTCTATTGGATCGAGCTCCAAACAACTACTGTAAGTTCAATGGACCGATGTTCGTCACGAAAAACTCATCTGGCTTCAAGCATTGCTAGATCTCGCCCTAGACTCCCTGTGATTAATGCTTTCATCGGCGAAATTGTTTCGTGAAGGTGGTCTCAGCTCTCTACGTTAAAATTTCTATCTGAAGCGCATCACTAGACTAACGTTCCTCAATGAAGTAGTCAAAGAATGAGGCATCCTCAGGCATAGCGGCCCCATTCGTTAGATAGACTTCTGAATGGCGCATTACACTGGCATAGCGGCCCCGCTCGCGTAACATATCCCTGAATGATATAATTCGCTGGCATAGCGGCCCATTCGCCCAATAGATTCTCGAATCGTATAGTCTATTGTCATATTCACCCATTCGCCAAAAAGATTCCTGAATGGCGCATTTCACTGGCATAGCGGCCCCATTTACCGCGACCTTAGTTATCGTCAAGTGTCATGAACAAGAGTCATTGTTCATGTCTCTACACTCATAGCGGTACAACTCGTGTATTATGATGATATAGTGCCGAGCTTATATAGGCTGAGGAGACAAGCGAAGAAAGAGGCATTGTTCATGTCTCTACACTCATAGCGGTACAACTCGTGTATTATGATGATATAGTGCCGAGCTTATATAGGCTGAGGAGACAAGCGAAGAAAGAGTCATGGTCTTAGGTTATGTCTAGGAGGCATGCTTCTTATTCACCTCCTTATAGCGATAATACCTAAGGTTTTACAACTAGGTGAAGGTTGGCTGACGGCTTTGGAGAGCCTATTGAAGTGGCAGACGGCGCTTGCAGCATGGTGAGCATTAGCGGAGATCGACTCCTCACTTATAGTGCAGTTACATCATACAATTGCCTACAATGTGGACCTACCATAGCCAAGTTTTCCTCAGTACGACTCTTGGGGCGATACCGATAGTGAGTGTATAGCAGCTACTCGAACGTTCGAGTGTTTTCAGTGAGTGTGAGTTTTCAGTTCTTCGCGACTAAATTCAGAATGGGCAACTTCATGCAAATCACTAGATGCTTATTTGCCTCCTTTCTTATAGCTGGGGTATTAACTCAGAGCTTATTACATGATTGTCATTCTGATGGGTTGCCAGGTGATGGCCTATGGCTTGCAGCGTTCCTGTATTGCGATATTCGCAACAGTCGATCATGGTATTGGAGTTGTACTTGGAGGAACTCCGGTGAGCATCTGACTATCGAACTCCATCGAAAATCGTGACTCTGCTGCGACGTTTATTTCGCATTCGGTTGAAACTTTATAACAAGTAATGCATGGTACATAGCCACGCGCGTCTACTCAAAGGCGCCGGCTTCACGCCATCTGCTGCTGGGGACTCCCCATTGGGGAGGTTTTGGAGGGCTTTCTTCCTTCTTGGCCGCAGCCTCGACGGCTGCTTCACTGCTTCTTCCACAGAATATACAATAGTATAAATCGTCAAAGGGGGGTATTTTTTGCATTCGGAAACAGCGTAAATGCCTTGAGGGCTAGTGGATATGAATGAATCAGATTAAGCGAATATTCACGGAAATGTCTGCTGTGATAACACATTTTTCAATAGTGCATATGGAACAACAAAGGGAACCGTACATTATCGAGTTGCCGTTCTCTCAGGTAGCATGGCCGTCGAATTTCCAATGGTCGTCTCGGCTCACCAGGGCTCTCACACTGAGTCATCGTCCATGCGAACATGGAAGTACACGTGCACCTTGCCAGATATATCTTACTGCTGCTAAGAATCTTTCTAGTGAAGTCATCATCAATGTAAGACCTCCTCTTCGAAGGGAATTTTTCATTGTACATAAACAATAGATGAGCCCGGTTGAACATGATAGTTCCAGACCGGTAAGTTTGTCATGCATTTTTTTGACATGGGAAAACTTATTCGTCCGAGTAGCTTAATACATATCGATTCCTCTTCCCTTTCATGTAGTATGTGGCCAGTGTGGTTTTTATATCATTGATATATAGGAGGAAATTCCAGGATATTCTTTTTGGTTTCTGTACTGCTCGAATTCGTAAGTACAGTTCAGTAATTGGAGAAACAGCTGAGGAAAACGAGTGTATACCACAACACCGATACAGACATTCGCATATCACCTCGTGGCATTATATCTTGCCCTGCAGTGCCAGGAAGATGCGATATCTTAGTCTATGATTCATAGATCATCAGATCACTCGAATCATCAACATATTTTCTGGGCGTGTCGGATGATAATAATGAAATATCCAATAAAAATTTCCCTATATGTTGGCGTGAATCCATACGGCGTTTTTCACTTCTGACTAATCTGCAGTGCTCCGTGAGAATACTCTTCGAACTGGTTAGTAGTACTTCGGGGCTCAACAGTGGTCCAAGACGGAAATAAAATGAAGTCTATTCATATGTTCGGTAGCTCCCCAGCTGAGCTAGGTTATGCCCTATTTATTTTCTGTTTCATCTGCTGACTACTGTTCATACGAATCGCAGGCACACTTTCCTGCGGATGAGTCGAGGAAAGTCGTGTTCGTGTACCGAGAGAGCGGAGATCAGCGCAAACAAGAGGTTGTTCCTCAGCGCTTCACAGTAGGTTGGATCGTGGAAACACATTCATCGAATACCTCCGTTTTTGAAGTTTCTCTTGCTCCATGTCGCGCGCAGTGTCGCTTGGGTTAAACCGGTGTGTGAACAGCTTACTGTGTTTCATTGTTTGTTTGCCTTTACAGAGTGAGCGTTTACGAGTTCTCTAGCGCTGCGTTACAGTATCCCTGAAATGGTTTAGTGATGGTTGCTCTTAGGAGCTTCTAGATAGTCGTTGTTGCCATCAGTCACGTATCGTGCTCAGGTTCCTGGTGATTACTCGCGAGACGTTTATGCGGCCTACGTATACGGCTTGTCTCCAGGAGCTATCGTGGAATTCTGGATAAGCGCTGATGATGAAATCGTCAGTGATGTTAGAAGATTTCGGACGGTCCCACTGAGTGGTAGGTTTTCAATGTGAGCTGATCTCTTGCTTTCGACTGTACGCTATTTTACTCAACAATTAGTTAAGGAAATGTAGCTATATATAGAGGAGTTGATAGCAATACGTTAGCTATGGAACAAGGCTATGTAGCTGTATTGGGACAGTGTTTATGTCAACACGATAAGATCTCTCCATGATCGTTTTCGAACAGCTCGTGACAATCCATCATTACTCCTGAGCATCATTGAATTCCTTTCTCACCTTTCATTTGGAGGTCGCTAGGGAACACAGGAGGATCTATTTCCTCGTCGGAACTTCAGCTGTTCTTGGTCATCACGGAACCTTTAGTCGAAGTCGTCTCAGAGACGTTCATGCTCCTCGTTGCTCCATGTGATTTGGATATAGTCAGTGTGGGAGAATAAGCACATGGTCAATTATGTGTGTTGGTGGAAAATATGGGAGTTCTGGAGAACTCTCACTGGTTTCTGTACGCTATAGTGACCATATGATCCCCCAACACTGCATATACCTTACCAGGTTAGTGATAGTGTTAATAAAGCTATCATATTCAATTTGAATATGATAGCTTCAATTTGAATAATTCAAATATCAGGGTGAAACTCGACTTCGTTGATGAATTATGAGCTGCACACCTTGTATGCTAAGAATATGTGGAGGGGTGTAGTTGCGTCGATCGAGACTTTTGGATCCGTTCAAGAAAGAAGGCGCGAGTTCATGGCGAGCGAGTTTTTCCTTATCAGGAGAAGTGACTATCGCTGTTGGAGGTGACGCTGGTGCCAACGAATTGGGTCAGCAAGTGAGCGAACAGTTAACTAAATACGATCCATATGTCGCGGTAAGAAATGCGAAAAATGCGTCGCTCCGCCTTTTTTTCAGAAGATTTTTGTCAGGTTTTTGCCGGCGATGTGAGCTACGACAATTCGCTGATTGGGTGTGCTTGCATCTGGGATAAGTTTCTGTCGAATTGGGATAAAATACGTGTGAAACCGAAGGACCCGTTAAAAGGAGATGATGATGATGACGATCAAGGTTACATGATACCGTTAATCTTCACTACTGGCAACCATGACCTCGGCGTTAATGTAAGAGTTGACATACTGATATCGATATTCACTTCATCATTCGTATAGAGTCGATTCCGCTCCTCTGACAGCTGTGATCAAGCATATTTGTTTAAAACAAATTGTTTTTACGCTTACGTTGAGGGAATTCAGTACTCAAGCTCTGCTTGACGAAAAAATCATGGTGTTTTCTGCGACTCGATTGAGAAGAAATGTTCGTTATATTTATTGAGGTTTCACTCCGGTCCGACCGAATTGCCTAACGAATGCGAAGACACTGTATATATGAAGATCATGAATTCGTTTCATCTAGTGACAAACGAATTTTTTAATGTGTACGATGTGTTTTTTTTGTAGGCGAAGCCAAGAGACGTCCGATACAGCTCCCAAGATTGCGATATGTAAGTGATTTAGGCAGGCGTATTTGGCAAGTTTCGAATATTCAGGAACACTATGCGACGAATTCGACCGCTTTACTACGGCTATTTTGCATTTGAAGTGGTTAATGGACGAGTACCAGAGATATGCGACCGATCCAATAATCATGTGAGTTCTCGAGTCGATGAGTGTGACGTGCGGGTTCCTCGAATGAACTCAACAGTTGAAAACGATGACTCTCTAGCAATAGAGCATTGCCACTGACTGCATCGCTGAAGACTCCAGCTCCTAGGTACACGTCCTCGGTCACTCCACAGTCCTATGGGCACTCGATTCGGACTATGGTGAGCCAGCGTTGAATACAGCGCGATGGGTATCAGCACAACTTGACGGTATCGAAACTGCTCCTGGACGGCAAGCTCGGCATCTAGCGGTGTATCATGTGAGCTGCTGGGCGACCGAGGATCACTCGTCTGCTCGTCAGAACTTACCAGGAGCGTTTTTTTTCTTCGAAAAATAGTCCATAAATTCAGTATTTTGCGTCAACTTAGTAGTTTTGCGGGCTAAAATTCTAACAAGGTTAAGGTGAAGTAATGAGTGATCAAATACTGTAGTACGACGGCCATATTCGAAACCGTTACTCGTATATGATTGCGAGCGAGAAATTTACTCCCCAAAATCGTGTGAATTTCCTAGAAAACGGGTAAGAATTGTTGCCTGAGGATTTTGCATTCCCGATTGACGAGAACTCAAATCGATAATATAATCTGCCATTTTGTGTTAAGTCGACGACCGTAGTCGGATTTTGGATGTACCATAGTGCATGTGAGAATTCGAGATCCGACTATGGTATCGCTTGGCGGCTTTGTGATTGGTTACCTAGATTCAGGAGCCTTCTGACCTACAGCTCGGATCACATAGTGGCTACACTGTATTCCCCACCGTTGCATTAGGAGGCTCGAGAGTGGTCAAAATTTCTCTAGTATAAAAAACCATTCGAGTGAAATTTTTCGACTAAAATAAGAAATCTCAACCTGGAATAGATCATGGGGTGCTTCTCCTCTCATTCAGATGCCGATGTATCCGAGCCTATCGGATCCGGCTATATGGGCACAGGGCAGTCGACTGCGCGACATTTGGGAGAAGGAACTTTTTACCAAGTACGCAGTCTCTCCGCGAATGTTTCAATTATGTTCATTCGAGTATCTTCTCCACTATCACCTCATCGTGAGACAATCATTGAAATTCTCGCATGCGATTTGCGTGCGCATTTAGCATCGTGAACCATCCTCGGCGAGGACTCCTCCCATCATCTACTTGTCTTGGAGTATTTCATGGGTGTATTCACGCCTCGTTTGTCAGAATCAACATTACGGTGGCGTTCGAGCATCATGTGCATGCGTTCAAGCGTTCACTCCCATTGAGAAACGGCAAAGTCGGGGAAGCCGAGGGATTCAGCACCGTGTAAGGCTGGTATAATCGTTTCATTGCCAGAATTGGTCCGTCATGGTTTTCATATTCTATATGCGTATTTATCGTATCAGATTCGTGGGTGATGGAAAATGGGGAGTGTCTCCCAATGACAGCCCGCCTGAAGACGCTCTTGCTCGGGAAGATGAACGTTTTGCAAAGCTAGGTAGGTTCCTTCGTATTTTCATGCACAAATGCTTGATGTACTCCTCGGTGGTTGGTATAATGCATAGAACTATATCGGAGTCCCCGCATCACATGATGAACGTAGTTCCGGAGCATGAGCATTATAACCACGCTCTACGACACGGATAATGTGCAGAGGCGTAGTTTTAGCATTATGCTAAAACTTCGCCTCTTCACATCATGCTTATATCATGTACATAGTGCAGTACAATGCATTTATAGTTGTGATTCGTAATACCATCAACGGCGTTGATTCAACGCATGTTAGTACACTAGTGCTACAGCAAAGTGTTCTGATTCAATAACGACCTCGAGGAGGTCCAGCCACATAGGTAGGCGGAGTTTATGCACTGCGACCTAGGAGGGTAAGAGTCGAAGGCTATGACGAGGTATATGGCAGTTGTAGGGATTCCCTACCACATAGAGAATCCTTCTACAGTCTTATCCATATGGTTGATCTTTGAATATCTCATCAAGGCATCACATATGAGCGTAATTCATAGCTTACGCATTGTAAGATGACACGCGAAGATATCTTTGCTCACAGCAATGGAGAAGCTGCTGCTGAACGTCTTCGAATAGAATAGGATCAGAAGAGATGAATAGATGCTTCCATAGCAGAAGTGTTGGTTTACTATGTATCGTACAATTTATTGTATGTTGCAATGTGAACAAGAATCGATTAATCTGACGGCGATTCTACGATTTCGACTCCACGATCCCGGCTCCCCTCCATCAGGTACATTCAATCACGTTTGGATAGCGAAGATCGATCTCAGCTCATCGAAGGGTGGTATTACACTCATCGCTGTTGACGATCACGGCGCTGAGGTGGATTCAGTCGCCGTCTGATTTTTTCCCAATCATTCTTCCAATGCAAATATGTTATATTATCAACATCTGTATCCTTGTTATGCTACCTGGGATAGTTTTTTGTTCGCGTTATAAAGATATAGACTGAAGCCATTCTCCAACAAATCCATTTTGCGTTGCGTCTTGCTCAATAGTTATCATTCAGATGCCAAGGAGGGACGTTACAGCGAAATGCTGTGCTTCTCTTGTAAATGGGACCCCAGCTCTGATCCACGGTGTCAATACAAATTATTTGCGTTGAGCTTGCTTTTCTCGTCATTCTCGCCTCTCATCTGTTGTTATTTCTCCCTCAGTTAGTACGTGTGGTATACCCGATATAGTTTGCCAGTTGTAGCTATAGTGTCCGGTATATACTATAGACCGTACACTTGACACTATATACTATATAGTGTTAGGTTTTTTGTGAGCTGGTTGCTAGTCCACATTAGCTGAAGTTGTGTGAATCACACCGTGTGATTTCACGTGGGCAATGTGCGGTCCAGCGTAGAGTACGGAGTCCTGTTAACGTGTGGCCATGCTACACTGTTAGTATGCTATCATCTCGTTACGGATCCACACGTGTTATGGCTGTTGTAATACACAGCCATAGCTATGTAGCGGTGGACTTTCCGAGATATATAGCTTCGCGTTCCACCATATCGGCCACTAAATCATTGGCTCCCCTCCAGTGACCATTAAACACCACATTATACAACAGTAAATATGCTATAAATACAACCGCTTGTAGATTATTAACTAGATAGACTGCAGGTAGAAAGTGATTATCCCAATTCCCAGAGCCTCATCGAAATTCAATCGCTGTGATTTGGGGCATTACCGTAGTAATGTCCGATATGAAAGGCGTGAAGCCGGCTGGAGCCTCCTCGATTTCGGTGGAGCCTTTGTCAGAACGAGGGTGGAGCGACCCTGCCGCAGTCACAGCAACCATCGTACGTCGGTTCGAGCGAGCCTAACTCAGACAGGCTGGCGTACGATAATATGTGCGGTCACTGGGGTACTCGCACGACGCTCGTCACTTCTGAACGGTCCTCTCGGACGGGAGAACAGCCTCGTTTTGATGGTAGCGTGAACGACCTGTCACTATCGCTCGCTCCCGAGCTCTAGCAACAAACCTGCAGGAGAACTAACCCGCTGATCGAACGAACTGTGGCCTGTCGCCTCAGGCTTCGCGTATTGCATCAGCTTCACAGCATCCGGAACCATGTCGCCCTGCTTCTCAATGTGTCGTGCAGCAGCAGCTATTTGCAGTAATACTGCAAATAGTTACTATAATAACTATAATAAGCATAGTTTGCGCTCACCTCGAAGCTCAACACTCGAGGGCCTCGAGTCGAGGCTCGAGTCGGAGACCGTTCCTGTATCACCGATGCGTATCTTCCACACTGTAGCACAGTTTCACCCTCCTCAGACTCCTTATTCGAAGCTAAGGATTCTTGTGCAACCCAACATCGCTTTCTCTGCTAAGACTCGTATCCATATTGGGTATAGTGACGGAATAGAGTCTATCAAATAGACCGAAGATTATGATCCGAATGAATACTCCCTGAAGTACGTGAGATACGACTGAATGGAGTGTATCGAGCTCCAAAAATACGGACTTTTCAGTATACCTCACAGATCAGAATCGAATATCGGACGGGTCACAGACATATCTTGTAATCTCATGCGTTCTTTGCTACTTCCCAGGAAGTCTGACGAAAGTATAACAGAGAAAAGAGTAGACCAGATTAACCAGAAATGCTCGTCTGATGAGTGACAAACAGATGAGAGGCGTCAAGCCTTGAAGAATTATCACACACACATACTGTGTGACGATCATCAGTTCCCGAGTTGACCCCCATCCGAAGTGCAACAGAGGCGCAGAGAGCTCATGAAAAGTGTGAGGACACAGCTAATGCCTAAAGATCGCAAGTAAGATTAATGATGCAAAATTAACCATTATGAGCTCCTTACACCCAATAGATGGATAGGTCCCGTTCAACGGGAATGTAAGGGTCACGTATCTCAGATAGGAGGTCATCTGCAGACGCACCCAGTTCCAATGCGGTAATAGCAGTTATCCGGACAGTTAGTGCAGTATCTGCGATCCTCACAATCGTTACAGCCGCCCACACCAGCCTGCAGCATGTAAGCCACGGCCGCCGCAATGACAAGTGCGATGTGCATTAAGATGACAGGGAGCAACTGAAACCGCAGACGGTGAGATACTCTATGCCACAGGGCCTGTTGACGGATCCACTCAAATTAAATATAAACTCCCAAGATTAATGTGGTACGTATACTATTGTGCAGCTCGACACCCGTAGCCGATGTGACGTAGAAAACGTATAACTCTCGAAGAGTTACCCTGTGTTTAGCGACTGAGAAGTCGATTGATTCGCTAGGCCTGCACACGTGGATCCGCATAGACGACGTCTATGCTCCGATTCACGTGTGCAGTCGTCTATTAGACGACTCGTTTGATCAATCTGAAGCCTCTAGAAGCTCGGGTAGTTGAGTCGAAATAACCCACCATACACGCACGTACAACAAGAAAGTGCCTACTGTTGTTGCTGAATATGCTCCGCTTGCTTCGCTTGCTCCGCAATTGCTTTGTGCGAATTATGGTCCGTGCATGCTCGAGGTTCAACAGTTGTTCTCGTGCAAGTGCAGGGAGGCGACTGTGCGCCAGAGCGCCCCCAGCTATGATCCACGGTGTGTAATACACATCGTGTATCACACCGTGATACACACTGTGTATACACCGTGAAATATCCCACTCCTGGGCGCCTGGGTCTAATGGGCTGGAAGACAGAAGGTGTCGATGACTTTCAGCGCTCGAAGCATCGAGTTAGTCCGACGAGCGCCTCTGCTGGCGCCGCGAAGGTTGCGGTACGGCGGGCGCGTGCCGGCGATGCGAGCCCGCGCACGGTCGACCAACCGATGCTTGCTCCCGGGAGTGGCGGGCTGGGTTGAAAGAAATCATACACGGCATACGCCGTCTGATTTTTCACCAATCATTCTTCCAATGCAAATATGTTATATTACCCCCATCTGGATCTTTGTTATGCCATTTAGGGTAGTTTTTTGTTTGCGTTATACAGATATAGACTGAAGCCATTCTCCAACAAATGCATTTTGGGTTGCGTCTCGTTCAATTGGTATCCTTCAGATGCCAAGGAGGGACGTTACAGCGAAATGCTGTGCTTCTCCTGTAAATGGGTTCCCCAGCTCTGATCCACGGTGTCTATACAAACGATTTGCGTTGAGCTTGCTTTTCTCGCCATTCTCGCCTTTCATCTGTTGTTATTTCTCGTGCAGTTAGTACGTGTGGTATACCCGATATAGTTTGCCAGTTGTAGCTATAGTGTCCGGTATATACTATAGACCGTACACTTGACACTACATACTACATAGTGTTAGGTTTTTTGTGAGTTGGTTGCTAGTCCACATTAGCTGAAATCGTGTGAATCACACCGTGTGATTTCACGTGGACAATGTGCGGTCCAGCGTAGAGTACGGAGTCCTGTTAACGTGTGGCCATGCTACACTGTTAGTATGATATCATCTCGTTACGGATCCACACGTGTTATGGCTGTTGTACTACACAGCCATAGCTATGTAGCGGTGGACTTTCCGAGATATATAGCTTCGCGTTCCACCATCTCGGCCACTAAATCATTGGCTCCCCTCCAGTGACCATTAAACACCACATTATACAACAGTAAATATGGTATAAATACAACCGCTTGTAGATTATTAACTAGATAGACTGCAGGTAGAAAGTGATTATCCCAATTTCCAGACAGCAGTAATGTCCGATATGAAAGGCGTGAGGCCGACTGGAATCTCCTCGATTTCGAGGGTGGAACGACCCTGCCGCAGTCACAGCAACCATCGTACGTCGGTTCGAGCGAGCCTAACTCAGACAGGCTGGCGTACGATAATATGTGCGGTCACTGCGGTACTCGCACGACGCTCGTCACTTCTGAACGGTCCCCTCGGACGGGAGAACAGCCTCGTTTTGATGGTAGCGTGAACGACCTGTCACTATCGCTCGCTCCCGAGCTCTAGCAACAAACCTGCAGGAGAAATAACCCGCTGATCGAACGAACTGTGGCCTGTCGCCTCAGGCTTCGCGTATTGCATCAGCTTCACAGCATCCGGAACCATGTCGCCCTGCTCCTCAATGTGTCGTGCAGCAGCAGCTATTTGCAGTAATACTGCAAATAGTTACTATAATAACTATAATAAGCATAGTTTGCGCTCACCTCGAAGCTCAACACTCGAGGGCCTCGAGTCGAGGCTCGAGTCGGAGACCGTTCCTGTATCACCGATGCGTAGCTTCCACACTGTAGCACAGTTTCACCCTCCTCAGACTCCTTATTCGAAGCTAAGGATTCTTGTGCAACCCAACATCGCTTTCTCTGCTAAGACTCGTATCCATATTGGGTATAGTGACGGTATAGAGTCTATCAAATAGACCGAAGATTATGATCCGAAAGAAAACCCCCTGAAGTACGTGAGATACGACTGAATGAAGTGTATCGAGCTCCAAAAATACGGACTTTTCAGTATACGTCACAGATCAGAATCGAATATCGGACGGGTCACAGACATATCTTGTGATCTCATGCGTTCTTTGCTACTTCCCAGAAAGTCTGACGAAAGTATAACAGAGAAAAGAGTAGACCAGATTAACCAGAAATGCTCGTCTGATGAGTGACAAACAGATGAGAGGCGTCAAGCCTTGAAGAATTATCGCACAGACATACTGTGTGGCAATCATCAGTTCCCGAGTTGACCCCCATCCGAAGTGCAACAGAGGCGCA